CTCTAAGGGTATGTTTACACTACAGCGTTATTTCGAAATAAGCTATTCCGAAATGGTTAATTCGAAATAGCTTATTTCAAAATAATGTGTCTACACACAAAATGCATTTCGAAGTAGAGTTTTGTTATTTTGAAATAGCGCGTCCACACTGAGTGGATGCTGAATCGCACTTAAGGCTGGCTGGAACCAGGTCTGGCAGGGCATCAGGTCAGGATTTACTTTGTGTGGCTGCTGCCTGAGGCTGTCTGAAGCCTGTGCTTAAAGGGACCCCTCCTGAACAGCTGGTTCCCTACTTGCTTGCCTACCTCAATGAGGGACAGCAAAGCATTTTGTCTCTGCGTGCTCTGGTTGCCCTCACTCAGGACACTACAGCACTCTGCAACATGGAGCCAGAGCTTCCCTGTGCACTCTGGTGCTTCTCTTGGACGTGTTGTTGCGAGCCTGGCTGGACTTTCAGCAGGCTGCTATCCGGGAAGTCCATCGGGGGGCAGTCAGTATCCAGGAGGCCCTGCGGGAGAGCTTCCACCCTGAGGAGCACTAACAATCTCCCTGGTCTGCCCCACTGGGGGCTTGTGCATCATTCCTCCCTAATTTCCTTCCACTTACTCCCCGCCCCAGCTCCTTTTCCTTGTAGTGCTGCCAGACCATAATAATAACAGCAAATGAACAAATTAAATAAGTCTTGTAATAAATAAATCATACTTCAAAATCCATGCCAAATGTAATAATTCCAAATTTGCAATTTGTAATTAAGTAGCTATAACAATATATTTTCTTTTATTCATCAGTTGATGGCAGTATAATAGGAGCATCAAGCAAAGTGCTTCCCCCTTCTCTGAAATATACACTGTAGAGCCCAAGCCTTCACAAAAGAACATGGCAGCCATTCTATACATGTTGTTTAATGACACTAGGCTATATGTACTCAGATGCACAAGGGATGCAGGGCTTTCATTTTATTTAGTTTTTCAAGTGATCCACTGTATAATGACAGAGCAACACTGCCAATGAATATGTTTACACAGTCTACGGCTATGTCTAGACTACAGGTTTTTTTTCCCAAAAAAGTAGCCTTTTTTAAAAAAAACATCATCTGTGTCTAGACTGCCGTTATGTTCTTTCGAAATTAATTTGAAAGAATGCAGCAGTTTTTTTCAACAGCAGTAAACCTCATTTTACGAGGAAGAATGCCTTTTTTCGAAAGAGCTCTTTTGAGAAAAGGTGTTCTTGAAGGCCAACAGGGCTTTTTCGAAAGAGAGTGTCCAGATTGCCTGGGTGCTCTCTTTTGAAAAAGCGCATCGCTTTTTCGAAAGTCACATGGCTGTCTAGACAATTTCTTTCGAAAGAGGCTTGTAGTCTAGACGTACCATACATGTGCTGGCTGTAGACTCAGGTTTGCAGGGCTCAGGCTATGCAGCTGTTTCACTGCTGTGTAAGCCTCCAGACCCCTGTGGGGTCAGAGGATCCCAGAGCCTGAGTTCAATCCCAAGCCTGGAAGTTTTCATGGCAATTAAACAGCCCTCTGGCCCTGCAAGTCCAAGTTAGCTTCTAAGGCCAGCTGTGGGATTTACTTTGCTGTGTAGCCATACCCTAAGATGTTACAGGACCACTCGTTTTTAAACTTTTTTTTTTTCAGAATAAGAGTCGCCAATATGCCAATGCATTTTACAAAACACTGCATTTTTAGACACACTGTATTCCATCCACTGATGTTTCTCATACCAATGTGTTGCAAAGCTTCAGTTTTTACCACTGATAACACAAGTGGGCTACGTCTAGACTAGCATGATTTTCCGGAAATGCTTTTAACGGAAAAGATTTCCGTTAAAAGCATTTTCGGAAAAGAGCGTCTAGATTGGCAGGACGCTTTTCCGCAAAAGCACTTTTTGCGGAAAAGCATCTGTGGCCAATCTAGACGCGCTTTTCCGCAAAAAAGCCCCAATCTCCATTTTCGCGATCGGGGCTTTTTTGCGGAAAACAAATCTCTGCTGTCTACACTGGCCCTTTTGTGCAAAAGTTTTTCGGAAAAAGACTTTTGCCCGAATAGGAGCAGCATAGTATTTCCGCAAAAGCACTGACAATCTTACATGAGATCGTCAGTGCTTTTGCGGAAATTCAAGCGGCCAGTGTAGACAGGTGGCAAGTTTTTCCAGAAAAGCGGCCAGTCTAGACACAGCCGTGGGGAAAGACTGATGTTTCAGATGAGTTGGTAGTTCATATTTGACAAATCAGAAGGCCATTTTGTAGTATTAGTAGAAACAGCATTTGTTGCAGCTGCAGCAGTCCTAGGTTCACTTTTAGTTTTATATGTTACTGTTTCCTTTGCTGAATGAGATGAAGATGGAGAATTTGCGGATTTAGTGGAAGACAATGATACATCTGTCAATTCTATGGATTCACTTTCAGTCCATTGTCTTTTAAAGAAATTAAAACTTTTTGTTTTTATGGTTCAAATATCACATGTGGCTCACAGTGTAATATACTGTAGCTGAATATTGAAACACTTCCTTTGAAGTACTTCTGGCAGATTAATTCCAGTCTTACACATCACTGTCAATCAAACATTTCTTGCCTATAATTTGTTGTTTAAGCAAAGATCCCACCTTGGCAGACTGTGATTCCTGGGTGTACCCAAATTTACTATGGGTGGACGGAGCAATGATAGGAGAGCAAGACAGGAGTAATCGGGTCCATCTCTCCCCACCTCCAGTGCCCTGGGGAACGAGGGAGAGTGAAGAAAAGTGCCCCCGGGCCAGTGTAGACGTAGCCTGCAAGTCAGGAGATTTATTTGGGCATAAGGTTTTGGGGCTAAAAAGCACTTTGTCTGTTGCACAGCACTCCGTTATTTCAAATTTATTTTGAAATAGCAGTTTGGCTGTGTAGATGCTAGGAAAGTTATTCCAAAATAACTTGGCCTGCTTCACATACCTGGCGCTTGTGCTGGGGAGCAGGGTGGGGGCTTACAAGCCAATACGGCTCTCTGGCAAGTCTGCCAGGCGGGAGGAGCAGGTCAAGTCCTCAACCAGGCTCCGTGGCTAGAGCACTGGAAGGAAAGAATCATCGAATCATAGAAACATAGAACCATAGAACTGGAAGAGACCTCAGAAGGTCAACAAGTCCAGCCCCCTGCTCTAGGCAGGATCAATCCCAAAGAGTGGGGACAAGCCCTGTACTGCAACCCCAGACCTCAGAAGGATCACTGGGCGGTGGAACTGGGCAAGCCCCTGCACCCTGACCCTGCTCCTCAGCAGGGGGAGTGCTGAGCAGGGCAGGGAGTGCTGGGGCAGGAGCAAAGCTGAAATGCCACTGGGAGGGCCTGGATCATCAGTGGGTGGGCTATGGCTCAATCAGGCCCATGGGTGGCTAAACCACTGCTGCTACAGACTAACATGGCTACTCCTCTGAGTCTGGTCCTGAAGAACAGCAGCACACAGGCCCCTTTGGACACAGGAGCCTAGCTCAGGCCACGCACCAGTGGAACGGAGTCAGTTGTGAATCAGTTTGGAGTTGGAAAATCCACCATGTGGACTGTGGCAATACACGTGTGCAGAGCCATTGCCTCCTGCTACAAAGAACTGCAACTCTCTGTAATGTGCGGGAAATGCTTGATGACTTGAGGCAATGGGATCCCCTAACTGGTGGGGCAATAGATGCAGGGGCAGCCCATGCGCCTACGTTGCTGTTGGCCCGGCCCCCCTGGGGGGGGGGGGTTAAACCCTTGCACGTGAGGTCTGGAGGCCGGCCGGTCAGTAGCGGGGTGTAGGGGAGGGGGGAAGCCACAGGGCCTGGCTGGGTACATCACGCGCCGGCAGCTGCTGAGTGAGGGCGAGCACGTGACAAACGGCCACCAGCTGCCACAGCTGGCCTCAGGCAGCTCCTGAATAGATGGAATTTGCATATCCCAGGCCAACTTGCAAAGAAGTACATCAACCAATGAGAATGCCATTAGCTATCATCTTAGAAAAACCATGAAAGTAGGGAGATTTATTTGGGCATAAGGTTTTGTGGCTAAAAAGCACTTTGTCTGTTGCATGGAGTGGTTTTTACACACCAAAGCTTATGCAGCCCAAATGTGTTAGTCTGCCACAGTGCACTCCTCCTGTGTGTTCTTTTTAAACAGCTAGGCTGTGTCTAGACTGGCAAGTTTTTCCACAAAATCATCTGCTTTTGCGGAAAAACTTGCCAGC